CTGATAGTGAAAATGATATGCAAGAATGGATGACTTTATTGGAAAAACGTTTAGGTGATAGAAATATTGTTGATATCGTTTTGGACAGATTGGATTTGGCAAATATTGGTATGCATAAAAGACAAGGCAGTTATAGTTCTTTGAGATCTTTCTATTCAAAGAATTCTAGTTTTTGTTCTTCTGGTGGTTCGACCACTACAAATTCAAATCTATCTTCAAGACGTCCTTCTTTGGATTCTTTAAGTTTGGACACTCCTCCTTTGGACTCGAGAAAAAGTTCAATGGATTCATTTCGCGGCAATCAAAATACCATCTCTCACAATACAATAGTAAACAATAATAATAGCGATAGTTTTCCTTATCAATCCATCTCTAGACCTGAAACTCCTTCAAATCTAGTTGCTTTATTTGGTATAGGTCAACCTATATTACGTAAACCTGCATCGCACGGTTGTCTTCAAGATAAACATATCATAAATAGTATAAATAATAGCAGTGCAAATAACAGTAATATTGATAATACTATAAATGGTGAAGAAGAAAAACCTCATACAAGAAATCAGTCACTTACATTTTTTAAAGATTTTAATACCAACACCACACCGTCATCATCATCACCATTATCATTATCAACGACCAATACAACAATATCCGCTAATAATATTACATCGTCAAATCGTCAACAATGTACACCTTTAATTATGGTACACGGTGAAAATTCAAAAATTGTTACTTCTTCTTCACCAGACGTTGTTTATTTCCTTGGAAATGATGACAACAATAATGTAGATTTAAATGATGACGAAGATTCTCTTATTACTCCACTAGCAAACGTATTTCCTAGTCACCTAACAGATAAATTTAATTAACATCCACATGTTTACATTGTTGTATATTATTATTATTTTTTTGTAAAAATCTCATAATCTTCATCTTTACATTCATCACTCCATCGTTATTAGAAATTATAAAAACTATATAGATTTTTTTTTTAAAAAGTTTTCTTTTTTATTTCCTTCTTGAATAAAAAAAAAATAAAATAAAATATTAAGCAATAAAATCGGAATAAAGTTAAAGCATTAACTGTTAACAATTTACAAACGAGATAATACATATAAATTCCATTTTTTTCGAGATTATTACTATAGCTGCTATGAAAATTATTGCATAATAGTAATAGTAATAAAATAAAGAAAAAGAATTGATGATAATCGTAGCAATGATAACGCTATTAAAACTTTACCTACTAGTACTACTACTATTATAATATATAAGATTTATTATTAGCCTTTCTACTTTATTAAAAGAGATATCAATTTGATAATTATTAAGAATAATGAAAAACTAAATGATTTCTATCTAATCCGTATAAATTCGTTTAAGTATAGGTTTAATAACATTTAGAGTAGTTGAAACAGTTGAAGCGGTTGGTGTATTTGGTGTGTTGATGCCATTTTTATGTTTTTTTTCAATAGTACTGCCCTTTACATATTCTATACAATTAATAATAATAATAAAAATATTATTATTATTGTATATATATATATATATATATATATATTTAATAAAATATTTATTTACCTTTAGTCATATTAACCCCCCATCTAACTTTTTTTATTGAAGTTGATGATGATGTTGATGATGATGTTGATGAAGAGGCCGAGGATAAGGATGATGACAAGTCGGTGTCTTCAAACTTACGTTTATTATTATTAGAATTGTTTTTATAATATGAAGAAGAGGAAGAGGGTATTGATTTTGACGCAGATGACGGTGGCGAAAATGACAATAACGATGATTTTGATAAAAACAATTTCAAGGGTTCATACGACGTTGATGATTCAAGTGAGTCAGTTTTTTTCGATTTAGCTTTTTGACTTTTCTTTTTTTTCTTTTTAGGAACAACTATTGCTGAATCTGCTGATTATTCAGTGAAGGTCTCATATGTTGAATTGTATATTGAAAGATCTATTGTTTAATAAGAGTGATTTGAAACTTCAAGATGATGTTAATAATATAGCTGTTTTACATGGGCATTACATTCATCACTCCATCGTTATTAGAAATTATAAAAACTATATAGATTTTTTTTTTAAAAAGTTTTCTTTTTTATTTCCTTCTTGAATAAAAAAAAAATAAAATAAAATATTAAGCAATAAAATCGGAATAAAGTTAAAGCATTAACTGTTAACAATTTACAAACGAGATAATACATATAAATTCCATTTTTTTCGAGATTATTACTATAGCTGCTATGAAAATTATTGCATAATAGTAATAGTAATAAAATAAAGAAAAAGAATTGATGATAATCGTAGCAATGATAACGCTATTAAAACTTTACCTACTAGTACTACTACTATTATAATATATAAGATTTATTATTAGCCTTTCTACTTTATTAAAAGAGATATCAATTTGATAATTATTAAGAATAATGAAAAACTAAATGATTTCTATCTAATCCGTATAAATTCGTTTAAGTATAGGTTTAATAACATTTAGAGTAGTTGAAACAGTTGAAGCGGTTGGTGTATTTGGTGTGTTGATGCCATTTTTATGTTTTTTTTTCAATAGTACTGCCCTTTACATATTCTATACAATTAATAATAATAATAATAATAATAATAATAATAATAATAATAAATATTCATTTTAATCAAAACCTTGGCTTTTTCAATTTTTGTATCATTCTCAACATTTAATAAATTTCCTACAAACAAACAAATCGATTAGTCAATTCAATTCTAATTAGATCGGATAAACCAAACCAAACCAAACCAAATCTAATCAATACTTGTAACAGCAGAATATTCAAACGATGATATTTCATTATCATTATACAAAACACCAACACTTAACAACATTAATGTATCTTCGTCATTGTTATTGTCATTAAGCTGAATCAAATTCTCAAGAGTCCAAACCAATGCATTATTTGAATGTTTCGATCCATCCAAAGCCACTAAACATTTTTTACCCATTATTGATTGGTATTTAGAAAATTTTTATTGGGCGGTACAACCATTACCAAAAATTTTCAATGATCGGATCATCGAAATCTACACAAATAATTTTTGAAGACAAAGAAAATTACGTAACTGTAACTAGCTGGTCCACGAAAAAATATCCCATTTTTGAATACAGTGTGATATAATATCTCTAGTTCTATTATAGAGTATTTTTTGCCGATGGTGAAAAAATCATGATCAAAAAAATGGTAAGTTTTTGTTCAATATGTAAAATTAATTTTTATCATAATACTTACTGTCTGTACTCATGAACTAGAGGTATTATATTACACTATGGGAATAATATCTCCCGTTTTCGTGGACTCACTCACTTAATTACACATATGCTATTGCTTTGAAGAGGAACATTTAAAACATTAACAAATAAATACCTCAAGTTAAAAGTATAGTTGTCCCTTGATATAGATTTGGGGCATGCTGACAAAGTTAACATTATGTGACAAAGAAGTTACAGAGGTCAAATTTACAAAATTACAAATATTACACATCCAAGTTCTGTCTTATGTTTGAACATCACCAATTCACTCATTTTCAGATAAAGCTAATTAAACACAAATTTTATTCTGTTTAAAAAAGCAAATAATAAATAGATATTCATAATATTTAATTTAATGCTTACTTTCAATGGTGAAATTTTTTGTGCAGGTTGTTGATTGAGCTCTTGGTTTTTTTGCTTCACTATAAATCAAAAAATAAATCAACCAACTCACTAGTGATAAAAAAAATTCAAAGAATTGAAAATCTATCAAGCAATTATTTGATAAAAAGGCTGAGCAAGGCTTGACCTTTTCATTCAATAAAATGGTAATGAAATCCACGAGTTATGTGGAGAAGGAAAGGAAGAGTTTTGTTTCCACCATCATCAAACCAAAAAAAAAACCAGGCAATGGATAAATAAATGAAGAGGAATATTGATAGAGAAATGTTAATGATAATAAAAAAAAATAGCGCAAGTGTAGTATATATGTATTTGCGCCAGAGTGACCAAAGATAGGTAGTACTCACAACGCCTTTGGGTCCAAGTATTTTTCTCTCATACAATTGCTCTGGAGTTCTTTGTCTTGTATTTTAATATACAAATTATTATACATCTATCTTTCTATGTACTAGCTGGATCAAAATAAAAAATATTTCTTGTTTAATCTTTTCCTTATATATGACATACTTTGTCTCCAACAATATTCATGATATTATTGTTTTGGCATATATTCATTCCCTTTTATTATTTGTATTTTAAAGATTAATAAATAAACAAATAAATTGTATCATCCAAGTAATAATAGTACCAAGACCATTCTGAAAAGAAACCTTACTAGTAGAATTGGAAAATAAATCCATGCATGATAATTTTAATTTCAACCCCTTTCCATGTAGGATAATGGTCCATCACCATGTCATCCAAGTGGTGATGGAAAATTTTTAGCGGATATGGTTCCGTTTTTTTATGCGCATGTGTGCTGTGCATGAATTGTACATATATGCCACCCCAATTGTACCAAATACAAATTGTAGAGTTCCTTAAAGATTATTTCAAAAACCATTTCCAAAAAAATGAAATGAATAAATCTGATTTTGACTTCAGGCGTCAGATTTAATAAGTTTCCTCCATCAAACATGTAATCCGGTGCAATTGCACACCTTATAACCATGTAATTTTTTCTCCCCATCGGTTGAACATAAGCTAGAGGCTTTAACCATCTCCTTGACGGTGATATAATTTCCGATAAACTCCAAGGTCCTCCTGAAAAACTTAATTGCATTGTAATATCATTGGGGAACGTAGATCAACTTAACCTTTGTCTGCGAGGGTGACGAGAATGAATGAAATTGTTTAAATACAAGTTTCCATCTTATTATCAGATGTTGCATCTCGATTGTTTGGTGTTTCCAAATTGTACGTCCAGTTTCCCATGAGGAAATGGTAGAGATCTCCAATAGTCGTGTTTCTTTTCTCGCCTCAAACATTTCTTATAATTGTTTAATATTAATAACGGTTATGCAATCATTTATGGTGATAAATAATCTTGTATAATTGCCCATCACCCATAATGTAAAAGACATAAGTTTTGCTCCACATTTATACAAGATATTTAGACTCTTGTATAAGAAAAAAGAGGCACCAATAAATACAAAAATACAATCTCTGGTTGGTTATTAGTAAAAACATGTCGTTTTCAAAATCATACCAAATGAATGTCCAATTGTCTTTTTTTCAGGAAAAAAAAAGACGCGAGAAGATAATATTAGTGCGCATCATTCATTATACAAGGAGGAAAGTATAAATTGATAAATTTACCTTTTTTACATATGTTTTTATTATTACAAAATGTCTAACGACAGCAAAGGAAAAGAAGAAGCAAAGAAGCTGCCAAAGCACAACATGTGATGAGTATTGTTAGAAGAGAGGAAGTTTAAGAGCATTTATAGTTTTAATAAATTTTATCCAAATTCTATCTTTTGACAAAAAATAGGTTAGATTAATCGAATATAAATTTTTAACAAATGAAAAACATTGTCAAAATTATATTTTTCGACGTGATGGCGAAAATACAAAGCAGCAACCTGAAGAAAAGGCGACCAATGATAATAATAAAGTAAATTATATTATCTACTATTTTCATTTTTAATGAATCTATTTTGATAAACAATAGGAAAATAAACCATACACTAAAACAGAAAACACCATTACAAAGAAAGAATCAATGATGCTAGGAAAATTTTGAGTTAATTTATATATTTAGTAAACGCATTGAAGTTTTGACATTTATGGGATATGAAGGATTTCTTTATCCCTGAGAACACAACCTTAAAAAAAGGATATCATCTATGCTGATCACTGGTACCTTGTATTTTTTCAATTTATTGCTGTTATAAATTTATGGCAGAGTATTAAAATAACGGAATATTTTTTTACAGGGTAATGAGGAAGGACACTGGTATCTCGTTCAAGAATATTATGAACAGGACACTAGAACCTCTTGTTAAACAAATGTTTCAAGTCAAACTACCTCCCTTAGTAGCCAAAATTAGACAAAATTATTCTTATCCAGTTGATTTCTCATTATAAAGGCCCAAGTTGTCCAAACCAGTTTGGCTTTGAGAAAATACTTTCACAAATCCTGGGCACTTGTTGGTTGGGAGGCAGATTGAGATTTGTGAATTTTTTGACAGGCTGCCCCAAATTTACTTTGTACATTTGTGATTTTGGTAGCATGTATAGACTCAACTAAAGTTTCCAGTCAAATCCACCTCTTTTAGTAGATGAAATTGACAAAACACTGGGCAAAAATTAATTTTTTATAGCCCAAACTATTTTTTATGAAATTGGACAAAAATTATTTTTAAATTAAAAATAGGTTGATTTATTCTTATAAAAAAATATTGAGAAACCCAAACTATTGCCAAAATTGTTTTTTTCAAAGATGTTTGTACCAGAAACCTTAAGACTCAACCACTAAAATTTTTCCACAGAACCTTGGATGGAACCATTGTCATACATGGAGAAGAAGATCAAAAGTTTATTTTCCAATTCTGCCAAATTTCACTCATCAGGACATTATTACATGACTTTTTTCTTTGATTTCATTTTGCTTGGTATTATCATTACTTGGACAATGCAATTTATTTATCAATCATTCTACCTGAACCCTGTAAAAACCCTAGTATCTGGCCTCAAAGATAAGGACTTCCAAAAAGCAGCCATTGAATGTAAACAAACAATAAGAAAATTTGTTTCTCCTGAAAAGAAATTATTGGCCTTGAATAATGAGTGGTTTAGCTGAATGGGGTATGAATTATTGGAATCATTTTCTGCTTATTTTTCAAGATGAAAAAAAAGAAAGGGACAATAAGGAATGGGTAGAAAAAAAACAAATAGCTGTCTATCATTTTAAAACATCCCTTACTTTCCTGTTGTAAATTATCTAGAACTATAATTCTAGATCAAGGAAAACAATTCCGACTAGATTTGGACCCTGAAATCTCCTTTGCAGTATGCCTTATTTGTAATGATCGACAAACCAAGATTTTACAAAAACCCGAAGGACAATCAATAACCAAATTTTTATATTAATATTAATATACGAAGTGATACTAACACCTTCAGAAAAACTCCGTTTAAGGGATAATCAACGCACAAAAATTAATTAAAAATAATAATTTTTTTAAACCAATCATATCGTCGATCATGTAAAAATAGGTAATTCCATATTTAGTGATATCCCCGACTGATGACGTTAGAATTGGAAATGATGTATGTTACAAGTCTATCTCTAAATTGTGTAATAAAGAATGATACAAAATTATTTTTTAAAATACAATACATATACTATACAAATAAATAACCTTTTATAGTTTAATTATTTCTATTCAGGAATAAATTTGGTAAATGACAAAATTTGTCTCCCATATTTAAATATAATAACAACAATAACATAATAAATAATATTATAATTAATTATTAATTAATATGATAATATTTATTATTATCTTATTATGGAGAAAATACCCGAAATCCATAATGTATTCGGGGCACTAAATGAAGCTGTACTGTATCTCCCTAAACCACTTGATATTAAAGCTGATAACCATAACCTAAATTTTTAATGGTTGAAGAGGTTTCTAACATAATTTCTCAGTAAGAACTTTCATGACTGGATATCCAAATTGAACGATGTTATAGAAGAGGGGAGAGGGGAAATAAATAAAATATACTTGCATCATGACAGAATCCAAGGTAAAAGATTACATATGGCAAAGCAAATAAGCGTAAAAGATATAATGCTCAGAATTCACAAGAGAATTCGTAATCTTGTTATCAAACAAAAAGATTATGCCATGCAGTTGTGCTACTTGAGTTTAAAACACAAGATAATAATGAGTTTTAACCAAGCCGCGAAGCAAATATTGACTTGGTCACATCTCCGTTTTTACCAACATTTATTCCATGAATTCGGTGAGTATTCCTTGGCATAAGGTTGTCATCTGCGCCAAGAAATATATTAGTAAACGTGCGGATGTTGTAAAGTTATTGAGTCCCTTAAAGGTGCAGTTTGCAAATCCTCCACCATTGATAGAGAAATGTAAGCGGAGGGATCTCCCCTTGTAGGACTTGTACTTGTAAGAGGTTAGTAAATTATTTTTAAAGGAATTAATTTTGTGTAATTTGTTTCGTTGGAAAAATAGAAATTTTAATCGCAAAAATAAATAATAATAAACAAATAATAATAAATATTAATTATATGTATAGTTTTCTAACAATACGCTTATTATAGAACAAAGACAAATAAAATCAAATTTAAAATTTCGGCTAATATTTGTACCTAAAATATTTTATTATTTTTTGTTTGTTTGTTTTTCTTATGTTATTAATTTCCTTTCTCCCCTTTGATTTTTATTATTTCATTTATCATTCATTCACTCAACCTTTATTTGATTGTTTTCATATTTTTTCATACTACTATTTATAACGTTCGAAAAATTCTGCAGTTAACTTACGACTCCCCAGAATCACACATTTGTAGATCGTGCAAATTTTACCCCTGATAATAATAATTTCATCACGTCAAAAAAAAAAGTATAAATATATAAATTTCATTCATTCATTCATTAATAAATCATACTGTTTTTTTTTTTTTTTTTTATTAAAATTAATTATCATATATTAATTTATCCTTTCACTACAATTAATTAATTCTCTTTTTCTATTTTTCTCACATATACATACGCTCTCAAAAAATTATTCTCATTAATCAATCCATTTCACATCATTAATATCAATAACAAAAACAATAATATACTTCTTTGAATTTTCATATTTAGAATTTTATACGTACCTGCTCAAATTTTTTCTTGTAAATAAAATAATAGTAAATAAAGTAGATAAATAATAGATAATAAATAAATAGAATTTAATTATTACGATCATATAATTTATATTATCATATTTTTATTTTCGTTTCAATCAAGCAGCAATATTCAATAATATAAAGAAAATAATGATGAATTTTGGAAATGAAGATTTAATAATAAAATCTGGTTGGTTGACAAAACTTGGCGGTAATGCTATCAGAAAAACTTGGAAACGTAGATGGTTTGTACTTAAAGGAAATAATTTATATTATTACAGAGATCAGGTAAATAATAATATTATATTACAAATTAATAAAATTATATTGTGGAATAAATATCTCGGAGCTAATCAAATATTTGATTCAATGTTTATTAGAATGTTAAAGAAGCATCTGGTGTAATAAATTTATCATTATATAATTCAATATCTCAAGATACTACTATAACAAAAAAATCCCAATATTGTATTAGAATTGAAAAGGTTATAAAAGAATCTGATTCAATTCATTCTAATCTAAGTACTTATCATGATATTGCTACTATTTCATTCCCCTATATTTGTGATTATACTGATAAGAGGATTGACAAACAACCTATGACACAGCCCAAAAAGACACATTAGTCATATCGAAAATTGCACGCTAAAGTCAAACAACCTTTGGTATAGCATGTCAATGGCATACTCGTTCTTACATGGCAGTAAAAACATAAACTCTGGGATCCTTGAATTGGGCAATTAAGACTATCTATCATCTCTAAGAACATATCTTGTTAGCTAGGAGAATATGACGTCCATATTAAGATCATTCTAAGTAATCAAAAAAATATATATTTGGAAACTAGGTAAGAAATTGAATTTTTGATTGAACATTTGTTTGAAGAATATTTACAATAAAGTTTATGACAAATAATAAAAGAAGCATTTTTTTAAAGTATGTGCTACGAGATTTTCAATCTAAGAAATGATTGTCGATTATGTAATTCAAAATTTTGATATATATTTTTTGAAATTTGGTCACGTGGCGCAGCATCAGGAGTCTTTAGAATGGGCCAACCATAGTGATCACATTACTAAATTTTGATCCCTGAAATTATTGGTAACACGACTGTTAGTCTGGTTTTGTTGCATGCCCCTATTTACAATGAAAATTGAACTATAATAAATTTTACTAAAAAATAAATGTGTAAAAATAATAATTTGAGCATTTGTTTATTTTGATAATTTATTAATAATGATAATGATATTTAATAGATTACCGTAGTTTTGGAAGATTGGCTAGCTTCGTCCGGTAGAAGTAAATTTGATAAAGACATGGCACTTGATCGATTTGTAGCTTCAACAACATTTTGATTCGATTCAACAAAACAATAACCGTTATAATTTCTTGCTTGGTTGGCTAAAACAAATAATCTTGCAGCGGCAATAACAACTTCCGGATCAACTTTAGTCTGATAAAGTGCATTTTCAATTAAAGCATTAATATCTACCCCCGATATTCCTCCTCCTATCAGATAAGAATTGAATTCACCAAAATCTTGTAAATCTTGTCTTTTTTGTTGCTGTTGTTGAGAAATATTTTGAGAAATATTATTATTGTTATTACTATTATTATTATTATTATTAAAGTTGTTGTCATCGTTGTATCTAAAGATTGATGTATTTGAAGTTGTTGTTATTGAAACATTTGTTTTAAATTCATTCGTTAACTTATTTATTGCCTCTTTGCCTTTTGTTTCATTTCGAGAAGTCTTTAAATACGAAGACATTTTTTTTGCAATAAATAAATATTTCTTATGAATATTTCAAAAAATATATAAATTGCAAAAAAAAATTTTTTCATAAAAAAAATTTTCATATATATATATATATTAAAAACAGAAAAAATCCCACTTACAAATTTCATATGCGATATACAATATTAATATAGATTTTCAATAAACATGTATTACAACCTTCTATATAACGTGTAACAAGGGTTTTTGGAATTCTGGTTTTCGAGCATGCATAGTCACGATGTCACTCAGAAAAATTAATTATGACGCATTGATTGAATGTGATAATAATTTCGACAATGTATAAATATCACATTTTCTAAGGATCTTCACACTCTGCATTTTTGCTTCAGTTTATCACGTGGCTCAAAATCCAGCCTTTGAAACGCCGAGGACAAACTTGGGATGAATTGTACTCATTTATAGCATCAACAAATAAACGGAAAAATTCTTTTGATCAAATTTATTGTCAACTTTAAGATCACCAAAACCAAAAAGAGCAGGGTTTTGAGATAAGCCGTTTTCAAATAAACCAAGATCTTGGTTCCTGTAAGTGACTCTAACTTTTCACAAGCAATCTCAAGTTTAGATTTCATGCTCATTACAATTAATTAGTTTTGTGTCGGTCGGTTATTTCCTTTTTTCTTTATTTATATTTTGAGAAATAATAATAAAAATAAATTAATAATAAATGGATCAACAATTCTCACAATTCTTCAACTTTTAACCCTATCAATCCTGCTGTGAATTTTGATTATTTCCTTGCCGACAGCAGACTCATGAAATTTTGTTGTTTGAGATAGTTTTGCTTTCACATGGTTTATGGAATTAGCATTAACTGTTGGATTTCAATATATCTTTTTCAAAGAAATACGGGTATTAAGTTATGCAGACAAACAAAAACTATCAAAGGAGTTGATAACACCGAGTAAAGCTTTGGAATTAATGCCCTTGGACAATCCTCGAATAAAAACAAAATAATTAATCTTGACTATTTGAGGATAAATTTTGAAAAAAGATTCCAAAAGCAGAAGCCGAAATTTCGAAATCGTTGGGTGAGTATTGTTAAAAGATAACTATTTTAAGAGCTTTTCTAGTTATTATTTATGATTTCTCATAATGTATTTATTGTCTTCTTAGATCAAATATTACTGCTATTGCTAATGTGTGTTCTTTTAAAACGTATATGTACATGTTTATTTTTATCTTATCTACCCTTTAGGATAATTCGTCGTCCAACAATGTGTAGAATTTCTAATTGATTTAAAATCAATTTTGACCCCTTTTTATTTGTTTCCCAAGGCCATGCATAAATGAACTTTTAATAATGCCTGTCTACCCAGATCCCTTGAATTCACAAGGACAAAATTATTTTTCCTGATTATCAATTATGGTTCCTTATGAATAATAAATCTAATGTTGATCATAGGTGTCAGATTTTCCTGTCACAAACATGCAGTCAAGTGCTTTCATATGCTTCAGTACCATGAAATTTTCTCCACAGTTGAAGCTCCCTCACATGTTGGAAGGCCTTGGACAAAATTTTCCCTAGTCTCCCTCTCAGACCAGGCTTGACTGTTATCAAATGGGCATGATTGCTGGTGAGGATCAGCATTTGTGTGATGATTACTTTGTATTATACCTCTCTCACTAGAATAAAGTCAGTGTCTGCAACTGGTTCAAAATTCTCCAACTCGAGAGGTTGCAACCTGGGTTGCTGTCTTGTCAGTGACATGCCTATTCACCAACAACCCTACCTCCATTTAAATAGCAAATAAAGATTAAGAAAAACAGAGAATTTATGAAAACGATTAATTTATAACATACCAAACAAATTTGAACCATTTTATTTATAGCTTTCCCCTTGATGCCAGTGATCACAGTGGGAGTGGGCAGAATCGAACTTGAGATACATGCTCTCATTGAGCTATCCCAGGGTGGATTACATGGGCAAAAGCCCCCATTTAAAAAATAATAAGTTCAGTTGATCAAATAAAAATCAAAAGAAACAGAAAATTTATGGGAATGATTAATTTATAACATAGCATACCAAAATCCAAACCATTTTATGTCTTTTTCTTGTTGGCCATATTGCTGACAAAGATATATAATCACGTGATAATTTTAATCTATAGGACAGGGGAACTGATTAGGCAAAAACCCATCCAAAATTATAAAATTGGTCAGTATCAAAAAAATAGAATTTATGAAAATGATTATACAAAACAAACACTATTTTACAACCTTTCTCTTAACATCAGAACCTAATGCAATTTCAGGGTCACCAACCCTGTTCTGAATTGTGACCTCCTGTGCTTGAACGAGCTGCAGATTCTCTTAATATTCCTCCAGAGTTGCGCAAGCCATCCTTATATAGAGGTAGGGTCGTTGCAGGCAACTTTCGGCTAGCGTGCCAGCAAGCCTTCTCTAGTCTGGGAAGATTAGTGAAAAGGTCCTTGACAATTGATGCAATCTCGGTAAACTCCAGATCCACGCGCCTTCGGGAATTCAATTGCATCATCATATCTTTGGGTCGCCAGGTCAATATTAGCATCATGTACACGAGGAATGTGTGAATGACTGTAAATGTGTTCAAGGTAGCGTGGTGCTTCAACTTCTGCAAATTTCCGATAATCAAACATCACACATCGAAATGTCTCTTTTCAATAGTCAATGCTGCCTTGACATTGTAATTAATTACTATTATTTAATATTAATATTGGTAATGATTACGAAAAGCAAAATACACAATCTTGATAAGAATCTTATAATTACCCAGCAATGATCCGCCCACGTTTAAAATATTTATAATAACCAAAAAACAATGTAAAATTAAAAAAAAAATAGCTATTAACACGTCTTCTTTAGGAGACTCACGTTTTGCCCATCATAGAAAAATAAATTGTTTTTCCGGTGAGTTTTACAAAAAATATCAATGACTAATTTTTTTAAACATTATTGATTATTGCTAATTAATACTTTGTTGTTTTTTCTTTTTCGAAAAATTTTTTTTTCAAAATCTTGAAAAGAGAATCCAAATCACCAATCGTCATAAAGACCACGAATCGTGAAGTATGGATAGATTTTGAGGATGCACCACGCAAAGCCTATACTTTTGACAATATATTTGGTAATGAGGCAAACCAACAAGATATATTTGACTTGGTGGTTGTCCCAATGTTAGGTAAGGTATTGGACGGGTCCAATTGTACGTGGTTAAAACATCAACCGGTAAAACATATACAATGGAGGAAATTTGAATAGTGGCAGCAATACAATTATTAGTCCAAATGTTGGTGCCATCCCACGTTCCCTTCAATATATTTTTGAAGCTTTAAATCCAGAATCTGCTGAATCTGCTGATTATTCAGTGAAGGTCTCATATGTTGAATTGTATATTGAAAGATCTATTGTTTAATAAGAGTGATTTGAAACTTCAAGATGATGTTAATAATATAGCTGTTTTACATGGGCATGAAGAGATATCTTTAAACAATGCTGCTGAAGGCATCAGAGTTTTGAAACAAGGATCCATCAATAGACAAACTACTTCAATCAACTATAATAATAAATCAAGGTATCAAGTGAATAATTGTTTAGTAATTATATAAAACATTAGTATATTCATTAATTTAAAATAATTGAATATATGTGTACATGTTATTATTATTAATAGTCGTTCACACTCAGTGTTCACAGTAACAATCCATATTAAAGAATGGAGTCTTATGGGGAAGATTTGTCGAAAATTAGGAAATTTAATTTTGTCAATTTAGGAGGATCAGAATATATTGCTCATACAGGTGTTGAAAACACACACGCAAGAGAAGCTGGAAAAGTTAACCAAAGCTTATTAACACTTGGTCAATGCATTAATAGTCTCATGGTAATTCAACTCACATTCCTTATATGTATGGTATATATATATAATGGGTCTGGGTCACTTCACTGACAACACACGGGGTTACTTTAACCTCCACACAATCAAACAACTAATAATATCACACTGCATGTTGTCAGTGAAGTGGGGTGGTTCCATATATAATATATTAATCAATTAAATATTGTTAAATTGGAATAATGATTTTCATTTATCATTATTACTACTTTTATTATTAAGAGAAGCAAATTAACTAGATTACTACAAGACTCACTTGGAGGTGCAACTCTAAGTTGCATGCTTGCAACAATCTCACCTGTAGGATTAAACATTGATGAAAAAAAATCAACACTTGACTATGTATCAAGAACTAATAATCTCCATACAAAACCCATAAAAAATAAAATAGAACAAGAGAAAGATAATGATCATTATCAAAATCAAATTATCAAACTTAAAGAAGAGTTGCCTTTTCATGTGTCCTAAAAAAATCTGTTTCACTGTTTTAATATAATTAATACGAAACAATAATTTTCTTTAATTGTTTTTTAGAAATAGCAATAATTCTCTTTTAGTATGGTCAATGAAATCTTAGGTCTTGAGATAATAATTTCCACAATTTTATTTTATCCATTTGTTAGTAATAATAAATAATTTAATCTAGACATAATTATTTTTCATGGAACCAGTTGAGGAATTATTAAGTATATCACCACAGGACCAATTTAAAATCTCTTTAATTTTAAAATAAATGAAAACCTACAGAGTGAACATAAAATTATATATATAGGGTTATAGGTATATGAAAAGTAATAAGTATAATGGTTCTAATGAATATGAAAAGGCAATGAGCTCTTTAGAAAAGGTTGTGGTTGTGGTTGTTCTTCAAGAATCCCCAAAGAACAATTTGCAGAATTAAGGGAATCCTTTAAAGCTCTTTCTAAATCAGAACAAGACATATTTTTTAATGGCCCAACTTAAGGCAATGGTTGGTGGTTCATTAAGTTCTAGCAGATGCCTTAAAAAGAAATTTAGATCTAATAAAAAAATAACTCAATCAATTGTATTCTTACCAGCTGAAATGAGTTATAAATCAGTATAGAGATTTTTTGCC